GGTTTCACCATGTTGACCAGGATGGTCTCGATCTCTTGACCTCGTGATCCACCCGCCTCGGCCTCCCAAAGTGCTGGGATTACAGGCTTGAGCCACCGCGCCCGGCCTCATTTGGTTTTATTAAACCAACTACTACTTACTGAATTATTATAAAGTATAGTGGAGGGCATTCTTTTTTTTGTTTTTAAATTAAAGTTGGGGTTTCACCATGTTGGTCAGGCTGGTCTTGATCTCCCGATCTCAGGTGATCTGCCCACCTTGGCCTCCAAAGTGCTTGGATTACAGGCGTGAGCCACCGTGCTCGGCTGAGGGCATTCTTTTTTTTTTTCAGAGTTTCACTCTCGTTGCCCAGGCTGGAGTGCAGTGGGAGCCACTGTGCCAGGCCAAGGGAATTTTATATTTCGTGATATAATAGTTTATGTTGAAATACGAAGTATTTTTTAAACCTCATAATAATCCTGCAATACAGTAATTATTTTCATTTTACAAATGAAAAGACAGCAGTTTAGATAAATCACATGATATATGTGAGGTAGCCCAGTTAGTGACGGGGCTGGGAATTTGAGCCCAGCACTACCTGGCTCCAAAGCCCATTTATGCTTTTTTGAGACAGGGTCTCACTCTGTCACTCAGGCTGGAGTGTAGTGACACCATCACGGCTCACTGCAGCCTGTAACTCTTGGGCTCAAGTGCTCTTCCCACCCTAGCCTCCCAAGTAGCTGGGACTACAGGCACACGCCACCATTCCCAGCTAATTACAGGCATGAGCATCTGCACCATTTATGCATTTTATATAGTATCAGAAACTTTCAAATTATGCTCCTGGGGCTGTACTGGGTTCTCCAAAAACGCCCGCAGGCCATAGCCAACCTACGTCCAGGCCCAGGCCTCTTCCAGGACCAGTGTGGCCTCACTCACAGATGGACAGCTTGCCTACAGGCCCCTCTGTTGTTTCCTAAAGAACTCTCTAAAGATGACAGAGGCCTGGCTGGGCGCTGTGGCTCATGCCTGTAATCCCAGCACTTTGCGAGGCCGAGGCAGGTAGATCATGAGGTCAGGAGATCGACACCATCCTGGCCATGGTGAAAGCCCATTTCTACTAAAATACAAAAAATCAGCAGGGTGTGATGGCACGGGCCTGTAGTCCCAGCTACTCAGAGGGCTGAGGGAGGAGAATTGCTTGAATCTGGGAGACGGAGGTTGCAGTGGGCCGAGATCATGCCACTGCACTCCAGCCTGGCGAAAGAGCAAGACTCCATCTAAAAAAAAAACAAAAGATTACAGAGGCCTAAAGTCATGGTATGGGTCATAGGATGCTGAGAAAAAAAGGACAGAGATAAGCAGATAAGATACCAAGGCTGAGAAAAAGCAGCAGCTGGCTGGGCGCTGCGGCTCATGCCTGTAATCCCAGCACTTTGGGAAGCTGACGTGCGGGGATGGCTAGAGCTCAGGATTTTGAGAGCAGCCCTGGCAAAACAGTGAGACCTTGCCTTTACAAAAAAATTAAACATTAGCCAAGCGTGCTAGTGTGCGCCTATGGGCCCAGTTACTTGGGAGGCTGAGGTAGGAGGTCACCTGAGCCACCTAGGAGGTTGAAGCTGCATTCCAGCCTGGGCAACAAAGACCCTGTCTCAAAAAAAAGCAGCAGCTACATCTGCCTAATATTGTGAAGATTAAGGCTGAGCACAAGCGTAAAGGAAGGAGAGGAAGGGATGAATGGTGTGCTATTCTTACGAACATACAGTCCTTGTAGGCTGTTATCACCAGGGTTCTACTCACTCCCAGCAATTTTGTTTGTACTTGTGTTTATGTTTGTTTGGGATAGAGTCCCAACTGTCACCCAGGCTCGAGTGCAGTGGCTCCATCGCAGCTCACTGCTGCCTCCGCCTCCTGGGTTCAAGCGATTCTCCTGCCTCAGCCTCCTGAGTAGCTGGGGCTACAGGCACGTACCACCACTCGCAGCTAATTTTTGTACTTTAGCAGAGACAGGGAGCCCTGTTGGCCAGGCTGGTCTCAAACTCATGACTTCAGGTGATCCAGCTGCCTTGGCCTCCCAAAGTGCTGGATTACAGGAGTGAGCCACCATGCTTGGCTGGCCAGCAATTTTAGAATTCAAAGTTTCTCACATTTGGGCAGGGTCCTATGGCTCACACCTGTAATCTCAGCACTCTGGGAGGGCGAGGAGAGAAGATCGCTTGGACTCAGGAGTTCAAGACCAGCCTGGGCACCACAGCGAAAACTCATTTCTACAAAAAATAAAAAAAATGCCGGGTGCGGTGGCTCAAGCCTGTAATCCCAGCACTTTGGGAGGCCGAGGCGGGTGGATCACCAGGTCAAGAGATCGAGACCATCCTGGTCAACATGGTGAAACCCCGTCTCTACTAAAAATACAAAAAATGAGCTGGGCATGGTGGTGCGTGCCTGTAATCCCAGCTACTCAGGA